TAGCGCTAGCTGGGGCAGAAGACTTCTTAAAATTCAAAGTCCCGTACTCTGAACAAATACATTTGGGAATTGGTGAGTATCTAGGTCTGGATGGGAAATAATTGCATTAAAATAATTGCAAGGAACAATCAAGAAAATAGTGGCACCAAATGAAATGATTCTTGGTTGTGTGATTCTGGTCATCAAATTATAGTAATTTAATGAGAGTTGCATCACACTTGAGCAGTGTAAGAACCTATGTACTGCTACCTTCACAACAGCCAGCTTCCAGTTAAATGGCCTACAAACCATACATGCACAGAGGCTCCTTTGATATTATAAACTGGAGAAGAATTTCTCAGGACAAAATACTTGATTCAGTGAGGGGACATACTTGATTATAGAGCAAAATCATTGTGGATTTCAGCAGCAAGATGAACTCAAATCCATCATTTGGAAATAATGATCCAACTGTTTTGTTTCCATTTTATATCCCAGGTTTCTCTTGGAGATCTATATACTATTATGCCAAGAAAGTATATCAAATCTCAGGAGAAAAAAAGTGGTTGAGACTCTGGATACTTTCAGATAGATAACTTAGGGCTTTACAATAAAAAAAAAATGTCTAGCTATTTTAGCTTATTTTTCTGTAATAGTTCTGTAGTTGAGAAGAAAGAGAGAGAAAACAAGAACTAAATGAAGAGCAAGGACATCAGAACCTTTTATAAAATACACAAATAAGACAGAGAATGGGTTTGCACAACACTATAGACTAAAATGTGGTTGGCTAGTTTACGGTTCAGTGTGTTGTGCAAACTCAGTGGGGCTGGCTTATGATTTAATAGAACTGATTTTTGCTGATTTTGGTAGGTTTTCCAACAACTCTGCCTTTACTCCTAGTTTTCACTAGTGACAACATCCTTGCACTTGCTCTGCTCTGCCAGCAAGAAGGTATATTGCACAGGGGTAGATAGAGTTTTGAGTTATTGCTCTGGCAATTCAAAAATTCTTATGAAAGATGCAATGAAAAAGGAGGAGGCCTTCTAAACAGTCCTTGTGGAGTGGCTAATGAAAACAAAATTCTTTTCAAAATGCAACATCTACTGTTATAGTTGGTCCACATTAAAATATCTCCATTAGGTTCATTCTGCATCAGGAGCACTTGTCCTACAGAATGATTGGTTGCCTTTTTCAGCACTCATTCGGAAAAAAATCTACTTTTTATTAATCTGACTTACTTCTTACAAATATCTGAAATTCTTGAATGCAGATATGTGGAGGAGTATAAACAAAATTGGCAATATCTCAAGTACAGTATATTATCTTTAAAAAGAAAAGTAAATTGTGCCTAGTACTGAGAGTTATGCCTGGGATAAGAAGGTCTACTGAACATTTTTAGAGGTTGCTGCCATCACTTTGTATGGAAGGATTGGTAAAGTATGTTCCTTTAAAATACAATCTGGCCAAGAGATTAGAACAGACCTGCCATTTTTAAGAAAGGAAAGTCTAATTTGTTATGTAAAACAGGACAGAACTTTTATATTTTTCAGTTTTCTCTCAAAGAAGCCTTTTCAAGTTTCATGTAGTCCTGTATCAGGATTGAACGACTGGAACAGGCAATACTTTTTGTTTAAAGAAAGCAACAAAAATTCCTTCTAGGTATCAACTGCTGCTTCAAGAAGAGTAGAAGCATGGAATTGTTATTGTGTTTTGCGTGGCAAGGAAAAGGCACAGTCACTCTACTGGGAAGGAATAAGTGAGGCTTGGAGAGGAATTCAGTCATATGTGATTTAAGTAGCTTGAGGTTTTAATTTACCTTTGGTCTTTCTATACTTCTGTTACATTACCAGAACTGGACTGCACACATCTGGACACCCACTAGATGGCAGCAGAGATGCAGAAAACCTTTAACTCTAGTAGTCATCTGGGGGTTTTTTGCAGCCCAGATATGGCAGACCACTGGTTGCTTGCCTTTTCTTTTTACATCACCTGAAAAGATAAATGTATTCATTATTGGTAATTGCAGCACAGCCTGCTTTAAAATCAGAACTTCAGGTTTCAGTCCTCAATTATGGAGGCAGTCCTGGTGCAATCTAGATCACAGAAAACTTCAGTATTTCAGCATGAATTCTGAAGAACAGCTTTTATTACGAGATAGGGTTTTAACTTCCTGTGTGCCTCCTCTTCTGTTTTATATTGCCTTTTAGATCTTTTCCAGGGCATGTCCAAGCTTAGTAGCTATGTGGATTTGTGCCAAGAGGCACTATCATGCTAAGGCCATGTCTTGTTTACTAAGTTTCCTTTATTAATGTTACTACCTCTGTTGCCTGACCAGAACCACACTGTGTTACAAAGCCTGAGTTTTAAACTGTAGACATTTCAGTACAAATTCATTGAGCTTAGCAAAATATTGCAGGATAGGTAGTAAAAAAAAAAATCCCTTAACTGATTGATGTCATTCTTCATTCAAGAGGTAAGCATGTGAAAGGTATTCCTAGCCTTTCCTCAGGTTAGATTCATAGACCCTAGCCCTACATTCTTAGTTCTACAGTGGCTTTTGAGTAAAGTTTGGCAGCAGAGGAGAAATTAACATGATTTTCTGTAAGAAAGAATGTTATATGCTTGGATGCAAAATACTAAGACCAAATTTCGTAAGTCTTAAGACTAGAGAGAAAATGTGTGCATTGCAATAAAGCACAAATAGTTTTCCAGGAAAGTTGTGGAATTAGGTGCTTATTCTCCTTTATTGCCTTGTTACAAAATAAATACCTTGTTTATAATGCATATTGTTGGACTAGATGAACAGTGACTCTAGGATAGAGATCTAATTACTGTGAAATTGCTGTACTTATTATTAGTCTAGATTTTCTTTTATATAAAATTTGTTTTTGCACTATTGAAACCAGTGGAACTAAATCATAAATTGTGGCAAGCTTGCCTTTTCTCACTGGATTTTGTAGCTACATTACTATACTGATAACTTGAAGATAAGTTTCCATAATGCCATTAGATGTATCAGTACCATGAGCATAATTTCTCTGAATCAGTGCTGGGTTAGATTCAGTTTGGCAGCTCCAGCTAATTTCTCTTTGGAAACTAGGAAAATTTCTCACTCTAATGGAATATATGTAGGGAGAAAACAGGTGGTTATGGAGCAAAGATGACTGCTTCAACTAAATAGCTCATAAAACGCATCCCTGTATTAGGAAACTAGTACAGATCTTCATCTGAAACACCACCTTTTACTACTTTGGAGGGATAACCAAAATTGCCCTTGTTACAAGTTTTCACAACAGTTTCATATTCATCTCTTCTTCCACTTAATATTCTGTATTCTTTACAACTTAAGTACAGGTAGTTCTCATTTAGCGACCACAACTGGGACTGGCAACTTGGTTGTTAAATGAAGCAGTTGCTAAGTGAAACTGCAACTGTGCTTATGATCTTACTTCATCTTTCCCTTTGCTTTACAGACCTGGGAAGGTTGTAAATGCAAGGATTGATCGTAAAATTACTTTTTCATCACCGACATAACTGCAAACAGTCACTAAACAAGGCAGTCACTAAATGAGGACTACCTGTATAGGGTAACTGAAATGAATAAATGCTGAATCAGTTTAGAGGCTGATGCCTAAATTTTAATAATAGATGAGTATTTCTCCACAATGAGGACATTTAATTTATTTACCCCCATCCTCCTGATACCTATGTTGCATGGCAGGTAGGATACTGTGACTACTATCAATAAGAACTGCATAACACCAGTTTCCTTGGGTCTTCGTTGCATGAGACTGCAGTTCATAAGGGGAAAATACCATCTATATTGAGCTATTGGGAAGAGCTACTGAAATGTCTATGTAGGTAGCCATTTATCGACTTGCCTATTACTGAAATGACACCCCACTAAGAGACTGTGGCGTGACTTTATCTTTACACTGCAATCCCAACATGTATTTTCTTGAGTGTAAACCATACTGAGTAGACTCTCAGGGTTGGACTTTTAGCAATCTGCCCTATTTGGTTTCACATGCAATTTGAGAATCTCTTGAGGCAGGGGGGACCCCCTGGGGAGGACCCTCCACTGCTTTTGCTGGCCCTTTTTATGTATGTCTTGGGACTACCAAGTGGGCTATGAATAAGACAGAAAGGGGAATCACCTAGTCCAACTACTTACTAGATTTCTATCCCACCTATCCTTCAGGGGATCATGAGGCCATAAAGAGCACCTCCTTTCTTTCTTTCCCACAATCCTGGGTTGGCTGGGCTGAAAGAGGATCATAGCCCAAAGTCAGGCAACGAATTTCCTGGGTCCCATCGTCCCAGTCCTTAAACCAAGTTGATCTTTCAAGAACGTTTGAGGCGATTGTACACATCTGCCAACATAAGTTCCAAGAGCAGGAAAGGGAATGAGTAAGAACCAGTCCTGCTGAAAGCAATTATCTCTTTCATCAGATATTCCACCCTCACCCCCCAAACCAACAAATGGTTGTCGAGGTATATATAAATGCTTCTGGTCTGAAACATTTGAGGGCTGGTTGCAAGAGGTCTGTAAAGCATCTCTACGCAGATCGTATTGAAAGCGGTCAGGAGGGGAGGAGAGCTATCTGCCACACCCCTACACTTAACTCTTTTTTTATTGTTTCGATTCTCGACCTCGCTTGGCCCTTCCGGGAACGTAGCGTCTCCCGGAAATTAACTGGCGGGAGTTCAAGAGCGATGCTGCTGGAGCCCTTGGCGGTGACGCTCGCCTCGCCATCTTACCGGCTGAGGAGTTCGGGACGTCGTAGTAGCCAGCGAGATCTTCGTGGGAGCGCTCGTGCTCCTAAACACTGTGGAGGTGCCCACAGAAGGAGCACTTACAACGCGCACCATTTTCCCGCCCTTTTCCCGCTCAGCTGTTGCAATCAGCAGCTGCAGCTAATCGCCACCCTTTGCATAACAGCATTGCAGACCTTGCCTCCTGCAAGCGCGCCCTGCCGCTCCGCTTGGTCCTGAGGCGCGGCTGCCGGTTCCGTTTCCGCTCAAGCGGGGCGTTGCTTCGTGTTCACCTCCGTCAGACATGGGGCTCAGCTACATTTCCCCTCTAAAGGTCTTTCCTCGGTTAATTTCGAAGCTGTGGCTATGGCCAAGTCTGCTAGGCTGGTAGGAGCAGGCACGGGGCTGAAATGGCTGCGGCTGTATATAAATTATAATGGAATCTACTTCAGGAATATCGACGTCGTCAGGAATTGGGCAACTGCGGCGTCACGTCGCCGAAGCTCCCAAAAAATGCAACAGAGACGGAAGTTCAGCGTTCTGTTCAGGTTTTCTGGTGTTGGGACAATGGGAGGAGGGTAGGAAATAAATTATTCCATTTAAATATTATCTGATCTGCAAGTATCTGTGGTAAGAGAAATGCTCACGTTTAACATCAGTTAAGAAGCCTCTAAGCCGTAACGCTGATGCTACAATCCTGTACGATAGAGATGGGAAGAAAGTAAATACTTAGTGGTAAGTTTCTGGGTGATTTGCAGTAAGGATGTATAGATTTTCCCCAAATGTTTATTCACGTTAGCAACAATTCCCCCACTCTCCATTTGGCTGCTGAAACGAAGAAAGCATGGATAAGAAACAAGGGTGGATATGTACTCTGCATGTCCTTTGTAATATCCTTTTTATTTCCAATTGATCCCCCAAAAGTTCCAAAACTTAAAATTTATATTTGGGAATAAGTGCAATTTTCCTCAGATAACATTAACTGTTATCTGATGGGGTACATTCTTAATTTTTAAACACTGGCATTTGCAGTTGTAGAATCTAAGGAAATTAATAGGCTCAAGACTAAAAGTATAATACAGTACCATTCCAATTTAGTGTTAAATATGAGTCTGTTTATTTAGAATTAAGGTAGAGAATATAAAGTTAAAGAATAAATAAGCAGGTCAGAGGATTGTATAGCACTTACACACATACAACCTAAAGTATGGATCCGGTATGTAGATGACACCTTTGTTATAATAAAAAAAGGA